TCTGCCACAGAGGTATATCTCATGCCCTGGTTTTACTTTTTGAGATGTAGCCTTGCTAAGTTGTTCAGGTTGGCCTTGAACTTACTCTATAGATTGAACTTACCGTGATCTTTGTCCTCAGCCTTTTGGGTCGTTGTAATTACAGCCTTGTTAGTCCTAAATTTTATAAATTTCCATGTGTTGTGAAATATTATTCTCCTTTTGATTATTTAAGCTATTTAAAACATGTAAAAATCATTCATAGCTCAAGGACTCTATAAAACAGCAGCAGACTAGATTTAGCCCATGGGCCACAGTCTTGCCCAAACACCTCACTAAAGTTAAGAAAAACTAGTGCCTATAGAATTAAAATGTCTTTCCAATCGTATTTGGGGTTAGTGACAGGGATAAAATTAACATGTGTATCCTTTTGGCTCTTCTCCAGCCGCTTTATCCAATTTCCCCCTCAGCTTACAATTGTAAATATAATTTGGTCAGAACATTATTAATACTTACCACATAAGATAGGCATTCATAGGCTATTACTTATATATTAATTTTTTCCTTTAATCTTTTTCCCAATAGATCATAGTTATTCCTTTTCATTGCTGTGGAAAAAATTGCATTAAAACAGTTCCTTTGCTGTTACTCAGAGATGGACTGTTTCGTGGGCAATGTAATGTAAAACAATTTTTTTAGATGAATTAAATTTAGCAGAGTTTAATTGAGCAAAGAATGGTTTTCTGATTGGTAGATCTGAGAACCAGAAAAAGTTCAGAGAGCTGTACTCCACAATGTTAGCAATTAGCATTTATGAACAGAAAACAGATTTAAGGTACATGTAAACAGCTGGATTAGTTACAGGCCAGGGTTTGCGTTATTTGAAAAGGTCTTATCAGCTAGTGGCCTGTGATTGGCTGAATCTCAAATGCATGTGAAGAAATGAAACTCCTGTAGTTGATACCAAAAAATACATTCCACGGGTAGACTTTCAGTTTATATGGGTATAAAGTTGGTTACAGTTACTTAGGAAATTGTAGTATGAAGGCATCTTCAAGTCAAGTTTAGTTTAACTTAACCTAAGTTATTATTTAAGAGTGCCTTTGTGGGGCTAGAGAGATGGCTCAGTGGTTAAGAGCATTGGCTGCTCTTGTAGAGGACCCGGGTTCGATTCCCAGCATCCACATGGTAGCTATGAACCATTCTTAATTCCAGTTCCAGGGGAATCCGAAGCCTTCTTCTGACCTCCGCACCATTGCATGACACGGGTGCACTCACATACATGAAGGCAATGCACTCATACATGCAAAATAAAAGTAAATAAAATATTTTTAAAAAGAGTGCCTTTGCACTTTATTAGCCATTTACTCTTAGGATTTTTTCCCCTAGTTCTTCTTGGAGACAGTTTCTTAATATCCAGCCCAGTCTATCCTTGAAGTCTTGATCCTTCTGCTTCAGCCTCCCAAGTGCAGGGATTAGAGATGTGAGCCACCACGACACATGCACTTTTGGATACAGACTGGGATGATGACCTCAGAACTGTGGAGTAGTCTCAAACATCACTGTGAAATTTGATTTAGATGGAAATGTGACACTATCTGGGAAATCTTAGAACTAATATAACAAAACATTAGATTTATTTAGGAATAATTAACATTTATTGAATGTTTTCTATGTGGCACAGATTATTCTCATTTAATTTTCATGACAATTACATGAAAATTTTCTATCATTATATCCATTTTATAGTTAAAAAAAGCAAAAAAGAGATTAGGTAACTGTCCAAGAGACAGTTAGGGCAGCATCTGAATACAGGCAGTTCAGCTCAAGAACTGCTATACTATACATGCTGGTGATAATCAAGTTAAACTTCTTATTTTCATAGATGAGAAAATGAATCTTAAAAGTACACACACTTATACAGTCATCTGGCTAGTTAGTGTGAGAATCAGGAATTTATTTCCAATTACATAACTCCTAACTCATTTAGTTGCTTTTATCGTTCTACATTGAATGTTCTTCAAAACAAGAAACGGGCACAAGAGAATGAGTAAATATGATAAATATGGGCCACCCACAGAATTTTTGTGGGATCCACACAAGTACATAAAACAATCCTTATTTAGGGTTAGAGCTGGTGCTTAGAAGGCCATGCTAGTACACACAAGGCCTTAAGTTCAAGCTCAGGTACCCTTCTCTCCTAAACTGAACAAAGTTGCTTTAGGTAAAATTTGAAGTGATAATTAAAAAGCAAATTCAAGATAGGGATGGTGACTGTATTACTTTTTTCACAGAAGTTTCAAAATACCAGATAAAAGAAACTTAAGAAGTGTTGTTGTTTTCTGTCTCAGTTTGGTGGGAAGGTCTGGTGGTAGGAGCAGCAGGTGACTGGTATCAAGAATCAGAAAGAGATAAATGTTGCTTACTTCACTAGCTCCTCTATACTGATGCTACAACCCCAGCCCATAGGGTGGTGCTACTCACATTCAGAGTAGGTTTTCCTTCCTCAATTAAATCTGTCAGGAAATGCCTCCCCCCCACCCCCACATACTTGTAGTGTGTCTTCTAGGTGATTTGTAGGACTGGCATTGAAGCTCACTGGCTCACTAGTAGAGTTCTTGCCTAGCATATGTGAGGCCACAGAGTGCAATTCCCAGCACAAGACAAATTCAATTGTAGGTGTTTTAGATTTTATCAACTTCAAAAAATTACATTAAAAATACATTGTTTTGGAAAAAAATGTGTCATGTAGAACCAAGGCTGGGATTACAAGCATGTGTCACCACACGTGGCCTAGTGTTTTCCAGTGTATGAAAAGACTGGAATAATAGAATTCATTTTCATCTTTTCTACTAAAAGAGGGAGATGGCTCTTGAAAGTTAATATTTTTAAGTACTTTTTATTGTCTAACAAAGTAAATATACATTGAAAAATCCCAAGAAAAGAAAATAAATGATTACTAGTATTCTTCATCAAAATATTAGCTTTATGCTTTCTTGTTTTTATTTATTTTTGAGACAGGGTTTCTCTGTGTGGCTCAGACTGGTCTAGAACTCAGCATCCTTCTGCTTCTACCTTCAGAGTGCTGAGATTAACACCCACCAAATAGACTTTTTTTCCCTTGATGGTAAAGGATGTGGAATCCAGAGCCTCATGCAAGCAGTCTACCAATGGGTACACCTTCAGCCCTAAAGTGAAATTTTGAGGCAGGGTAGAAAGAGAGGGAAGCTTATGGGCACATGAGAAGAGAAAGGAACTTCTCAGCCAGGAATCAAGTTGAAAGTTCTTGTCAGTAAGGAAGCAAGAATTCCAGCACAAGTAACACTTGTTTAAAGCCTCTTTTCCTAGCTATAAACCTGTGTGGTTCTAGGACTCTCACCAGAAACCCCCGTTCAGAGGGAAAGGTCCTGAACTAAAACCCTTGCACAACCCTAGAAGCTTCAGGTTTTATCCTATCTGATTATACTTCTATTCAAGTTATCTCCAGAGTCACCTATGATCTCATGTACCAAAAGACAGAGAAAAGGAGGAAGGCTTCTTAGTAACCTTATGAGTACCAGTCTCTCAACTCTTTGAGGCTTAAGCCTCAAAAAGACCAAATTAAAAAACAAAACAAAACAAAACAAAACAAAAAAACCAAAAAACCTTCCTCAAGGCCAGCCTGGTCTACTTAGCGAGTTCTAGGTCAGCTGTGGTCAAAAAGACCAAAAATAAATAAATGAATAAATGAATAAATAAATAAATAATAAATCCTTGTTGAAGCCCTTCTCTGCTCCATAAACTGGCTAGTACTCAAATTCTTTTGTGCATCGAAGCCCCAAATCCTTATTTGGCCTGAATCGAGGTCCCTAAAATTTGAAACTCCCCAGGCTGCAGAGTGTGTCAGCCTTGGAGCTGTATTTCTGTTACCTCACCACTGACAATTTTACTGCAACTAAGTTTAGACTTATATCCATCCACTCATTTAAAACTTCCTTGAACACTTTAATTGGGGCTAACCCAGTGCTAGGCATTTGAGTCACAGAGAAGACAGCCTGTCCCCAAGAGAGACCCATAAGCAGATTTTGAAAACAGTAATACAAAACTGGTGTCAAAACACAATGAAAATTGTATCTCACAGTTGGCATCTTTATTTCGGGATTCTTAGGCTCTTTTCTAAAATAAAGCAGGACGTGGGGCATTATTATCAGAATTATTTCGAATCTATTTTAAGATAAACGTAGGTTAAAAATACCGCAACTGATATTTCTGAAGTGCCTAAACCTTTCCAAATGGTCTCCTTTAGGGAGTTAGAAATGTATACGAATAACTATGATAGTGATAGCAAATATTTCGAAGATCACATTTACTTAGTCTCTCCACCCGGTCGCCCGGGAAGCGGTGCATCTTGGGACTTGTAGGCCTTCCAGGACCAAGGCCATTGCAGCTCCTCCCTGTAAAACTTTCTGTCGCAGCAATTAGGCTGAACCCTAACCTAAAGGACAACCTTATAACTTTGAGCTCACTCAAGGTTCATTCTGTTTATGCTAAGGCTCAGGAGGCCGAGTGTTTGGGGCAGAGCTATCGGTGGATCCGTGTACTATGGCTTTAAGAAAAAGACATGGGGCAGTCATTGGCCTCGGCGCTCGGGCTCACTGAGGATAATCTCGCGATACTTTTACGGGAGGGACGGGGCCGCGTATCCAGTGCCGGCGGTAGGGGTGGCCCGGCCGCGTTTGGGAAGGCCGGTCGGGCGGGGAGGAGCGTGCCGCTCCGGTTGTGTGACCCGCTGACGGGGCTCGGGCGAAGCTGCGGACCGCGCTGCCCGCTGGTCGCGCCGGGGGGTTGGTCGGAGTGCTCACCCGGTGCTTCACCTGGGCCTGGGCTGCAGTGACAGGTGCCAGCGGCCGGCCCGCCCCCTCCGGGCCTCGCTCTCGCGGCTCGGGATGAGCCGCGGGCTCTGGCCGGGCTGCTGCGACTCCGAGCGCCGGGTCCTGCCGCGGGAGAGCGGCCGCCGCCCCTAGGGGAAGGCGCAGAGAGGCGGCTGAGCCGGGCATGAGCCGCCCGCGTCCGCTGCGGGACTAGGACGCCATGAACCTGCACCAGGTGCTCACCGGCGCGGTGAACCCCGGCGACCACTGCTTCTCGGTGGGCAGCGTCGGCGATCAGCGCTTCACGGTGAGTGCGGAGGGCGTGAGCTGCCTAGCCGGGTGGACTGGCGCGTCGCTCGGGCCAGCACCCAGTCCCAGCAGCCCGCCCTGCGGACTTTGAGCAGGCTGACGCTGCAGTCAAGAGCCGCAACTCAAGTTAGGATGTTTTCCGCTTCAAGAATTTTTTAGTCCGAATTCCATGGGCCAGAGCAGTTCCTTTGCGAATAACGAGTTTAGGGCTCGTTTTATTTTCCCGCTGTCTAATCCTAGATTGCCAAATTTAGACCAAATTGTTGGGATTTGTTTCGTTTTTTAATTATAAGGTCACATCTTTGTAGTTAAAATGAGTGGGTGTCTTAATTAGTAATTGTTATTGCACTAGTGCAGATAAAGTAAGAATGAAAACAGTGCATTTGCGTTTATATTTTTCTTTAATTCACTGAGGAATAAATTTGGAGAGAAAATATTTTTCAAGTAAGTCATCATCATCCTTCGAGTTCGATATTCACCAGTCTCTCGCAGTCCTTGAAAACTGTTGAGGTTGTTCGAGTTAATTACTAATGGTTGCATTGTTTTGATTTCAGTATATCTCGTCTTTGCTAAGGGGGAGTAGTTCCCGTAGTTCTTAATCTTTGGTTAAGATTTAGCCAAAGTGGTTTGCTTTCCTTTGGTCTTTCAACACTCCTGGCTATTGTTCAGCATACTGACTTTTTCTGTATTAACTCTAGTTTTCCTAATAATTTCAAGCTATGAATCAATCTTGCATTTGAGACCTTTCGGCTAAATATATTTGTAATGCTGCTGATTTTTACTACAATGTGTATGAATATCTCCTTAGTTGTGATTAAATCTAAAATTCAGTTTTGTATAACTGAAACAAAATAAGCACGTTAAGTGATGCCCCGAGCTTAGGAATCTTAATTTCTCTCACTTTTTTTGTTGCCTTCATAAAAATAAATAATACTCAGTACTTGACATGGTTTAGGCCCTGAACTGTACTTTTAGAGTTGTGCTTGCCAAGCTCTTTCAGACCAGCACTGTCTTTCCTTTAGAGCAACTGTTGCACACCTTAGTTTGCACAGGACAGCTGTTATTGTCAATATTCAAATTCTAGCCAGAATAATCAGGGGAAGTGAAAGGAGAAGAAAGCCCTGAAGGCCTTAGCAGTTGGAGTTACCCCACAACCCAACATCACTGTCTGTTGTTATTTAAGGGAGGGAAATAGAGCATCTTTAGAGCTCAGAGGTTTTCCTGGTGGGAGAGCATAGGATAGGAATATATTACATTCTCTGCCGTTTCCTAAAGTTTTATGTGGGCTTTCTCCAAATCAGATACTTTTTTTTTTTTTTGTCTTTTTGAGACAGGGTTTTCCTGTAGCCCCACCTGACCTGAACTTACCGTGTAGAACACACTAGTCTTGATCTCACAGAGATCCTCCTGCCTCTACCACCCCAGTGCTGAGATTAAAGGCTGATGCCACTATTCCCAGCCAGATGCAAAAAACTTTTTAAAGAAAGCATTCTGAATCTATGTAAGCAGTGTATGACCCTCAGAGCATAGGTTATATAGTATACTGGCCTTTTATACACCTACATGCATTCATCTATAAAACCGAGGTGAATTGCTTCCCTGTTAGTTTTCAGGAGCAGTCGTTTAATGTGCCAAGGGTTATATGGTCATCCTGTACTGTCATAGGACTTGTTGCCCAGTTCTGTATTTAAAGTCAGTTTTCCTAAAGCAAACTTTAATCATCTTCCCTCTAAGCCTATTTGCATATTTCTCCCAGGTCTCTGGAAACACCCAACTAAATAAGTTATACCACATATATAGCTTAGTATAAAAAGACCTTAGCTGTCTTTAACATGGTGGTAGTTTAAGGATTAAAGTCATGTTTTTTTCCATAGCCAGTTTATCCTTGACTCTTTAAATTGTAATTCTGTTTCAACTAAGTTTCTTGCCCCTAGTTTTTGGAATAGTGTGTACATCTTAAAATTTTCTTGAATTTACCTGTTTTCTACCCGTTTTCATCTTGTGTTTATAAACAGTCTGTTGCTTATCTGCTTTAGTTTTGTTTTCAGCCACTTTTGATTGGGGTTGAGAATCAAACCATGGGCCTCTCATTCTGGTCAAGCTTTCCACCTACCCAGGCCCCTACCCAGGCTTTGAATTCTTATTTGACAAGAAGATAGCAAAAATTAGTGATAGATTATATTGAGGATACAGATCCTTCACAGTTGCAGTTTTACTAAAGGTAGGGCATGAGACCTTAGTATCCCCTTGAAGAATTCTTATCCTTTCTGGAACTTCATAGTTTGAAGATAAGCTTGTGTTTGTAATTCCTCCCTTTGCATATTTGCAAGTTGCTCCATACTTGTATTAAGAGATTACAAAGAAGAAGATCCTGTTTCTTGCATATAGTCTGACAGATTCCAAATTGAAGTTACATGCCAATTTTTATGTTTTAAAATACACAATTACTAGTACAGGTTAGTATACAGAAGTATTCGATTTTTTCTTCTACTACATAAACTGGCATCAAACTACTTTGACTAGCAAGAAAGCTAGTTGGCAATGGTCATCTCACTCATACTTTGAAGCGCTTTATTGTATAATTAAGCAGTCTTGCTTTGAGTATGCATGCGTCTTCCATGGCTCCATTATGAAGACCTAGACAGAGATTGAGGGAGTGTGGTGACACTTAGTTGAGTCATTACCTTGTTTCATTTCCAGCATGGTCTTTTATATTTATTGTTTTCTCCTAAGGATCAAACCAAGGGCCTTGAACATGCTCACATGCCAGGCAAGCGCTCTACTACTGAACTGTACCTCAACCCTGCTTTCAATTTTTTAAATTTTGAGACAGGGTCTCCCTGTAGCCCATCTGGCCTGTAACTCACTGTGTATACCAAGCTGGCCTTGATCTCACAACGATTTGCCTGCCTCTACCTCCTGAGTGCTGGGATCAAAGGTGTGTACCACCCAGTCCAGCTTATTTTTTATTTTGAGACAGGTTCTTTGTAAGTTTCAGGGGACTTGTGATCCTCCTGTCTCAGCCTCCTGAGTAGCTGGGATTGCAGATCTGTGCCATAAGGCAGGTTTGTAGTTAGTTGTTCTGAGCAAGTTCTTTTCTGATATTTCTTTTTTCCCATCTTTTTTTAGTATGTATGAATGTATTGCTTGCATGTGTGTAAGTGCACCCGTGTCGTACAGTGCCCCCGGAAGTCACAAGAAGGTGTTGAATCCACTGCTGCCATGTGGGTGCTGGGAATGAAACCTGGGTCCTCTGTAAGAGCAGTCTGTGCTCTTAACTGCTGAGCCGTCTCTCCAGTCCCTTTTCCCATCTGTTAAATGGGACTAAAATAGGTTTTATAGGGTCCCAGGGATGGAACTCAGGTCATCGGGTTTGGCAACAAGCACCTTTACCCCAGGGATGGAACTCAGGTTCTCAGCCTTAGTAATGAGCACCTTTACTTTCTGAGCCAGCTTATTTTATGTATGGGTGTTTTGCCTGCATGAAATGTTTAGGTGCACCACGTGCACTTTGTGGAGGCCAGAAGAGGGTGTCGGATCCTCTGTAACTGGAGTTGCCAATGTTTGTTAACCATGATGTGGATGCTGGGAAGCACACCTGGTCCTCTGCAAGAGCAGCCAATGCTCTTAACAGCTGAGCTATCTCTCTAACCCCAGGGTTATTATTTTTTTTAAACTTTATTATTTTTATTTTATGTGTATGAGTGTTTTGCCTGCATGTAGGTAAGTGCACTACGTGCATTCAGTGCCCCAAAGAGACCAGAAGAGAGTGTCAAGTCCCCTGAACTGGAGTTAGGGACGGTTGTTAGCTCTCTTGTAGGTGCTGGGAATCAAACTCTTATCCTCTGGAAGAACACCAAATATTCTTAAACACTGAGCCATCTCTCCAGCCCCATACCCCCAGGGTTAATTTTTATTTAAGTCAGAAAAATCATGCTAATATTTAGGATTTCCTTTCTCTGTTTTGGAATTGCACACATTAGGAGAGAAAGCAAATATTTTCTAGCTTTGGGCTTCCTTTAATATTAGACACCTTGGTGCTCATAGCTAAGGGGGTCCAGATTATAAATTCAAAGATGCAGCTATGGGAGTGTTAGTAGGGAGACTAAATAAATGTTCTATTCTCTCTACTGTCTATGATAGTAATCATTTTTAAACTTTATTTTGTTTATTTTAGGGAGGCTTTATTGGGTGGCAGTGTGATTGCTGTATTCGGAAGATGGAAAGGTTTTTTGAGTCAGGTGTGTGTGTACGTTGTGTAGTAGGTAGGGACATATATGTCTTTGTGGGTGGGGAGGATATAGAAGGGAAAATTTTGTTTTCTGGAGAAAGAAAACTGGTGCCTATAATGCCATTACAAATACTTAGGTTGGACTTCATTTTAAAATCTTTGGCTTATTTTTATGAACCATAATGATATATAGGATTAAAGAACTCAATAAAAATTATTAAAATAATTGTCACTATTGTTTATAAAAGCAAAGAAACATTAATTACAACATAATCAAATTTGAGTCATTTAACCAGAACATATTCTAGAAAGAAAGTCTTTAGGGAAATTTATTTGGTGTGGTTGATTAAAACCAAATACCAATGAAAAGTAATTCTAAATGCCTTAGAGAAATTATGAATTCCGTATTAGAAGACTGTTACAACCTTGGATATATTTTGAGATTTGGATATTCTTGAAGATTCCTTGCAAACTTTAAACGCACACATTTGATTCAGTTCTTCCTGTGCATCTTGTTTAGTCTTCCTTAATGTAATATGCTAATGTTATGTGTGCCCAGTACAAGGACGTAATAGATCGTTTTGATTATAAAATTATTTCTTTGAGACAAGATTTTGCTTGCTGGGATTATTATAACTGTATGCTGTTATCCTGGCCTTGTTATAGATTTCCTGACAGAAGTAATTTGTGTGCCAGTTGTAATATGTAAATATTATGTGACAATTTATTTGATAAGCCAGTGCTGTGTTGTTTCTATTGTTTGTTTG